GTACGTATGTGACTGAGAGAGGCACAGTGGCTAGCGTGTCGGAATGTGCCAAAAAAAAATCGCGTACCGTACTTTGAGGAGTGGGTGTGTTATAAGAGTGACGTTGAAATCCCACTATTCGGTCTGACAAGAGTATCGCAATAGCTAGCGATGGGTGGTGTTGATTGATTAGCTGCTTTCACTTTAGTGTGTGACTTCAAAATTAGGAACGGCTAGTGCATATAACTCCCGTACAGCTTTGCGCGAAATTCTACAATACAGACATATGTTTTCTGAGTCTAATAGCTCAGTCGCACGCTTTTAATACTTTTATATCAACTAAAGGGTTAGAATGTTAATTAATGCTAATCGTCATTATCTGAATCCCCCCTCCAGTGGCACAGCGGTATATCTGCGGACTTACAACGCTAGAATCCGGGTTTCGATACCCGTGGTGGACAGAGCCCAGTTAGCCCATTGTGTAGCTTTGTGCTTAGTTACAAACAAACAAACTCAGCTGATGATTTGAAGCATTCTAATCGTTTTAAGTAAGAACACTATATTCAATTATATGTATTCATTTCTTGATTAATTTTTAGTTCTGATCTATATAGGTTGCTTACTCTGATCAGAATTTAATTAAACATTCTTATAAAGATTACCGTACGCTTCAGTGAATGTATTGGAATTTTGTCTACGTTTCCATGTAAGTAAAGGTGTATTAATGTATTTCGAATTTTCAACAGACGAGTACACATTTCCGAGAAGACCCTCAGCTTTCTGAACGACGAGTTTGAAGTTAGCCCTGCTGATGGAGCATCCAGAGAAGAAGCCATCAAACTGGCTGGAATCAAGACGTATTTGATCGTTGGAGTTTTAAAACCAGTAAGACAACGTCTATGTAAAAACAACATAATGTTTACAAAATATTTAATATAAGTTTGCCGTCTATGTATTCATAATATATATATGTATATATATATATATATATATAATAGTTTGCTGAAAGCAAAGCCAACTTTGATTAGAAAAATATTTGAGAGATTTTAATATTTCAAAATGACTATTTCAACATAATAATCATGGTGTTATTTTACCAAAAATCTCCATCGACAAGATTGAACCCCTAATTCTAACATTATAAGCCCTTATGATTACCACTGACCCTAATAGAACAAGACTGAAAGGACGAGCATGTCGGTAGTGGGAATCGAACCCGCGAACCACAGATTGCTCCAACTACCGGGCCATTTTGGAAATATTTAACTATTGAATTATTACTAGATAAATAAATTTTTCGAATTCTGTTTTAACATTTTATTCAGACATCTATCTGAGTATCATGTCTTTGGATCGTAGGTTCTTAGTATAGTGGAGGTTAACGCTCATAAATATATAGAGAAGGTGTAAGGGCTCTTCATAAAATGGGTAACGCTACTGTCTATTGTAAAATTTAGCTTGTTCTGGCATATTTAATGACAACGTTTGCATTCCGTTGCTATTTTTGCCGAAGTGCTCCAAGGAAAGAACCATTTCCATAAAATTTTCAATGAAATATTAGCCTGGACGTATACTTTGCATAGCACATCTTGTAACAATAGAGGTGTTGAACCACCGCGTGCCGGAGTTATCTACCCAGCTGTACATGGTGAAATCAATACCTAACGCGAGAGTGATGGCCTTTCGATGTGTAAGAATATACCGTATCGGTAAACCCCAGACGGGCCATTATGCTGTAAGAAGATTGTTCTCGTTTCCACGAGGAACGTCGGTTGGTAGCGTGCACATTCCGCCCAGGATCATTAGCCACATATAAGTGATCGATGGTGTTTGATTAATATTGCGCAAAATTGAAAGGAAATAACCACCTGATCGACCGGCAGAGTGCCGCAAAAGGGGCGGAGGAATTAGAGTGAGTTGAACTGAAATGTTAAATTACTTAAACTTTATGCTACACACTATCAGTTATATGTTGCTAAATAATCCGTTTAGATTTAATTAAGATGACGAAGAGAAACAAGTAAAAAAAATATACTTTTCCTTATTGTATGTTACGTCTCACTACACTATAATGAGGGCCTTAGGACTAGATAGAATCACTCAGAAAATGCTTCACAAGATGTGTTTTACAAGGAAAATCGAAGATAGCCTAGACGTGATTTCTTGTAAACAGAATGTTGACTGCCTGACTTATATAATTAAAATCGTTTTAATATAACATACTCAACACTATATAATCAACTTTGTTTCTTTCTCTGTTACATGAAAATAAAACAGGATTATGGGTTTCTATTATCTCTTGGCGTTTTAAACCCTGGAATAGAATTTCAGTTTATTTAATGAACGTATTATTAGCTTCGTGTCGTGTTTTCATAATATATCAATAAAGTTAATTAATTACTGTTAAGTAAACCACGATCCAGTGTATTTTGTGATAATCACCGAGAACTAATTACGTAGGCTAACTTACGTTTTCTAATTACATTTCTGGTGTACAGTATCCATCAGGAACGTTGGATGACGTCTTCAACAAGAACGAAGTCTGCTTGACCACAAAAGAGGTAATATGAATTGATTTATTCTAGTTTTTAAGTCGAAACCTATCGCATCTTTTTATACATTTGGTATACAGTTTTGAACGTGCGAAATTAAACAACGCTAGTCTGTATTTTTCTTTACGCTGGTAGAAGATTAAGAAAATGAAACTAACATAACTGAATAAATAGAGTTGTTTAATAACGAGTGAAAGCTTGGAATGGTCTATTCTTTCATTGGAGTGTGTGTGTGTGTCTGTGAGCCAGACTAGTTTCGGAGAATTTCACTCTTCATAAATTTACAAAGTTTTAAATTCAAGCTATGGGGATGTTCACAAAGAGCATGTGTACCAATTTTCATATGTTTTTATCATTCTTAAGTACAGCTATGGTGTTAAAACAGTTTATGTTATGTGTTTCTTTATCCACGCCACTTTAATTATACATATGACGTATATGACTGAAAGTGTACTTTCAGAGATTGTGACGTCATACTTCCGTTTTGTGCTCAACTTGAAGGTTATAAGAAGTGTTTAACAGTGTTTCCTCAGCATGTAAATGTGCCCAGTTTTAAGGGTCAGTGCTACCTTACAGCTATTTAGAACACTCAGAGAATGGTGGTCAATTTTACGTAAGCATTTTAGGCAGCTGAATTCCACATCATTAAACTACATCTCAACCGTACTCGAGACAAGTTGCAACGGAGAAAGTATAGAAAACAACCAAAAATGTATTAGAGTTAACACCTGAATTATCATCTTCAGAGCAATAAGTTTGAAAGCAGAATTCAACAGAAACTGGGCAAACCCGGTTCATTCAAAATACGTTGCAGGATCCCGATCAATATTCCTGACAGCAGGAACGACCGAACTAATCTATACTTAACGAAGAATGCCGCAGTAAACGGTAGTGTGCACCAACTTCACAATCTGTTACCAATCTATACTTAACGAAGAATGCATGCAGTAAACGGTAGAGTGCACCAACTTCACAATCTGTTAAACATTTCTAACGTTTTAACTTTATAAGTAATGAAATCGTTTTACTAAGAACGTGATTATCTTGCTGTACCAACAGTAAGCCTATAAAGCAAAATACTTAAGTGATTTCATAAGGCGAATTAGACTCAAAGAGTTTATACACAGCAAGATCAAACCCATAACCAAATACCATTTTAGCAATTACATAATGTTTCACGCCACCAAGCGGTATTACTATTAAACCGGGCACATTATTTAATCAGATAAAAAAAAGGTTTCTTTTGATTTCAATTCAATACAAACATTGTAAGAATACTTTACGTAATCAGAGTTTCAAAGATGTAATCTTTAAAAACGTTCATGAAGGAAATACAATAGTTTAAGTGGCAAAAACGGTTATGGAATTTTTAAGAGGCATTACAACTTATATAAAACTTGAGAACAATTATTATGATAAAGATGTAATATAAAACAATAAGTCTTTATAAAGATGTAATATAAAACAATAGGTCTTTATAAAGATGTAATATAAAACAATAAGTCTTTATAAAGATGTAATATAAAACAATAGGTCTTTATAAAGATGTAATATAAAACAATACATTTTTATAAAGATGTAATATAAAACAATACATTTTTATAAAGACGTAATATAAAACAATAAGTCTTTATAAAGATGTAATATAAAACAATACATTTTTATAAAGACGTAATATAAAACAATAGGTCTTTATAAAGATGTAATATAAAACAATACATTTTTATAAAGACGTAATATAAAACAATAAGTCTTTATAAAGATGTAATATAAAACAATAAGTCTTTATAAAG